AGGAGGAGGAGGAGGAGGAGGAGGAGGAGGAGGAGAACCCTGTGTGAACCCAAACTGGAAGGTGCAATCCCAATATTTCCCCTCTCATGAGTCAACAGGATCCCCCAGATGGGGGTGGGAGAGTTTGAACTCTCCCTTGTGGCAAAGCATAAAAACCCCAAAAGTGCCCCAGAGGAGGGTTACCCACCTGCCACACTCCTGCCAGATGCACTTGCCTGGGCTCAGCAGCAAAACAGGCCAGAAAAGGGGCTTTTATGGAAGATATTGATCATTCCCACAAGGTTCTGGAGCTGTGCTGGCAGGGGATGTAGAGCTGGGTCCTTCCCTCTACTCTGAGACTGGGGATGAAGACAGTGGAGCAAATTCACTTTTCTGGAAGGAGGTAGAAATCAAACAGATCCGTGTTCATCCTGTGCCAAGCACTGGTTTTGTTCTAAGCCAATTAAAATGATGTCTGGATGGGGCTTTTAAGGCTGGAGATGTCTGTGGGACACAAAAGCCAAGTCTCAGTGGGTTGTTGGCTTGGAGAGCCTGAGAGGAATTTTCATAAACCATCCAAAACCTCCTCGGTTTTCCTGCTGCTTTCACCCAGGATCCCAAACATGTTTCTAACAGGAAAAGGGCCTCCAACACCACAGCCTGGAGACAGAGAAATAATCTTGGAGATGAGAAAGTGCCTGAGCCCTGGCAGCAAACCTGCAGCAGGCAGGGGAAGGAAGCCTGGCAGCCCAAGCCTCTCCCCTCCTGGTCAGCAGAGCCGGAGAGCAGATGTGGATGCATCCAGAATGGGGCAGGTAGAGCTTGGAACACACCTGAGATCCTCAAACCAAACTCATCTCCAGTGGAAAAATGTTTTCTAGCAACAAACCCCTCTCTGCGAAATGCCTAAAATCGCCTCAGAGCCACCTGCTCCCCCCAGCCACAGCAGGGACACGGTGCCGAGGGGTGCAGCTGCTTCCTGCAGGGATTTGGATGGGATCTGTCGAGGATTCCCGAGGAGCAGGGCAGACTCCGGCAGGAATCAGCCCTCTCTCGCCTCGGGGAGGTGCTGTGGGTGGCTTTCACCCAGTGCCACACTCTCCTCTGGAGGGGCTGGAAACTGCAGCTCCACCAGCTCCATCCTCTGGGAATCTCAGTGCCATGGATGTGCTGACAGCGGTTTTTGTGCCGGCTGAGCAGCTCTGCTGTGATTTTCTCCTTTCCCCGCTGCCTGCTCCTTGCTGTCCGTGCTGTGTGAGCAGTCTGGGCAGGGAGGTGAGGGTTCTCCCCGGGCAGAGCTGGAGGAATTCTGTCGGTGAGTGCAGCTGGCTGGGAGAGCCTCACCCCCAGCCTCATCCTCCTCTTTCTTGGTGTTTTTCTCTCCCTGAGCCTTGCTGCCAGCTGCCCGCTGGGATTTCTTGGCTTGAGGGGAAAAACGACTGCCACTGCCCTTCTCCATGGGCTGGAATTCCTTGGTTTTAATGCCCACAGCTTTTAGGATGGTGTCCATCTGCTTCATGTAGTCCAGGTGGCCGTTTACCTGCAGGGAAGAAGAATCCTGTGAGTGGAGAACCCACAGGGATCCAGCTCAGCCAAGTCCTTCATCCCAACAGCCACCACTGCCTTGGGTTTGGCTCTGACAGATGGAAAAAATGAGGTTGGAGAAAAAAAGCACAGAATCATGGAATTGTTAAGGTTGGAAAAGATGTTTATGATCATCAAGTCCATCATGCTGAGGCCACCACTAACCCATGTCCCCAAGTGCCACATTCACCTGTCTTTTGAACACTTCCAGGAGTGATGATTCCACCAGTGGGTAAGTGCAGGTGTCCATCGAGCAGCCTGAAGTGGCTGCAGTGTTTGGGGCATGCTCTGGTGCTGGATGACTTTTCCTCTGAGATGTTTAAAAGCCTGGGCCTGGCTGAGTTCCACCCCAAAAATCCTGGGTGCCAAAAGGCTAAAGGAGAAGCTCTGCCATGGGGAGAGACACCCAGGCAGGAGAGTTCTCTTAGTTCAATTGCCTGCTCTTGCTAAAGGTGTCCTCCAGGTGCCTCAGCTCCCTTGTAAAAGCCAAGATCATCTTATTTAAATTAGGACAGAGTCATTAAGCCTCACACAGCTCCCAAGCTGAGATTCTTGGCTGGAAGATGCACTGATCCATCCCTCCCTGTATAAAACCGGGAGCGCAGGAGTTACGGCTTCATAAACCAAATAAAGTCAACAGTACACATAAAAACCCAGACAGTTTTATTGTAAGATGAATTCCACAAGAAGATAACCCCTTCTGAGATGGATATTGTAAAGTTCCCTTCCAATCACGGCACAGG